GTCAGGTTTTTACCCACCCACTCACCCACTCAGAGTCAGACAGAAACCCCTCGCCCCTCACTTGTGCCCAACCACCGGGCACAGAGGAGCAAACCTTCCTCCTTGGGCGCATGCTCAGTAGAAGGAGAGAAGGAGGGATTGCAACGTCTTCATAAAACCAGTTAATTTTTTGCCAGGCTGGGCCATGATTCCCTTCTCTGAAATCCTCAGCACAGCTGAGAAGCCAGTACCAGCCCTCCCGTTCCCGTTAAGGGTAAGGACGGAGGTCAGCCACATCCAAATTTGCAATGAATTGTACGTGTGCATGCAGCCACTTGTTTTCTCATTAAAAAAAAAAAAAAAAGAAGATAAAAATACAAGTCTGTAATTGAAGCTACTGCCATTGCAGTTTTGGAGCACCCCTACTGTAACGGTATCGGCTGCATCCTCCCAATTTCGCAGCTTGCCCAGCACCTCGTTGCGCACCCTTGTCTGCAGGTGCCACATCTTTCCCACTCTCCCCCACCATTAATTCCTGGATTCTTAATGATTAGTATTTGTATTGCTTATGTTGCAAGTTTGCCTAAGATGACTAATTATTTGTTTGACATAACATTCTATACTTTTTTAACAATGCTAATGGAAATGTTTAGAATACGTGATTTTTAAGCTTGCAGCGTCTTTGACTCCTTAGATATTTTGGACATTATTATTGATTCCAGAGTAAGATCTGGGCTGTTAAAGCCCATACTTGTACAGGTTTTATTATTGGTAGTCCCAAAGTAGCGAGGAGTCCGTGTATGAGAGAGAATCCCAACACCATGTAAATACATGTAAGTAAGTGAAGTGACTGCCCCAAAGATGTGAGAAATGGCAACGGCCTGTAACATGATTTGTTTCATTCGTGTTTTTCTAGATGCTGTAATTAAGCAGAGCAGTTCCCTGTGATTAATTATCGGAGTCAAAGACACCAAGCTATCAACAAATTCTTATTCTGCTTTATTAATTCTGTCTGAACAGGAGCATCCCATTTAGATATTTTCAAATGTTAAAGTTTGTTTATTTTTCTAGCTATGGAGAGGGAAAAAACCACCAAGCAGTGAGGCGGGTTTTTTTCTTTGAATATTTTAATACAGGGAGGTGTCTCCCAGCTTCTCTGATGTTGGCCAACCTATGTCCTGAAGTCATATTTCATCTGATTGCTCAGTTAATTAAACTGTCACGTTCTGTTAGAAACTCCAGAACCTGATGCTATTTGTGCTTCCAGTTCAGATCTCCAGGGTCCACAGCTGAGTGACTAAACATGGATTGGAGCTTCAGCCCTTCTGCACATTCCCAAAAGGGGGAGAAAATTTCCATCCAGGAAAGGTAATTCATGCCAGACATATTTGTAGCTTGCGGTTTCATCAATTATCTAGAATCTGATGCAAAGATAATTGAATTATCCCAAAGATTTTGACAGGTTGGATGAGGTTTTTAGAAAAGGAGCTGCTGTTTGAAAATAAATTGCAATGTAGAAAGTCTTCCTCATCGAGTGCGATGGAGGATGCCTACAGTTTACCCACCCCAACATCACCCTGCCAGCCGGCCGGGTTTCTGACAGCCTCACCTTACTGATGGTAAATTGTCACCTTGCAGCTGGCAGCGCAGTCTCAGGAGACCCACGGTCCCAGCGTGAAAGGGTCCGCTCTGCTGGGAGCAGATCTGCATAGCTAAATCAGCCTGTCAGAAACCATGCCCGCTTCTACCCCTGCTCAGCCAGGAGAGCGACATCAGTCGGGATCTATGGGCTTGGCGGTAGAAAAAAGATTAGCGTGTAAGGTTAGAAGGAGGGTCCGGAACACAGACCCCCTTGGGGATTTTACCACAAACTGCACCTTAGCCTGGCAGACCAGGACTCTGTAACACATTGTGTCCTGCTTCAACCCCAACGTATGTGTTGAAACCTAAAGCTTGGTCTGCAAAACAGACCCTTCAACCACACACAGTTACGTGGAAGTAAAGAGAAACGGGTGTGCAGTGTGCTGGGGGATCAGAGTGGTTGTGTCAGGGCTCTCTTTACACTGCCAGTTACTGTGTAAGTTTGTGAAGGCCTGGGTGCAAAATTTTTTGACAGAAGATGTTCATTTAATGTTCCCATTCTTTCACATTTGCTCACCTTTTGAATACTTTAGTCTATTAGCAGCCTCTTAGGTTATGTGCCAATTAAATAATTCAGTTCGTTACGCAAAAACCCCATATATAATAATTCAGTTCATTATCCTCACACCGGCCTCTGGGCATGTGTACAAAAATGTATCAAAGAGCATCAGTTAACAAAAATAATATCAAGAGAGAAAACGCAGTCGCTATAGGGTATCGATCAGCTGCAACATCCTGCCCAAGAGATGGCTTCATCTCAGCCCTGAGGAGATCCCCACATACCTTTTATGCAATTTACAACTTGTGAGTCTTAATTAATGTTTGTAAAGAGCTTTGGAACACTTGGATGAAGGATGCTGCAGAAATCTACGTAATGATTGCTAATTACATCATTTTCTCATGGCTCAAGCACCGACGGCAGGACAGTTACATTGCAGAGGGATGACACTACGTTGATCCATCGTGACACGGGGACGTACGAGGAAAAACCGCAGCTGCCTCCTGCGGTCCCTGCACCACCTGCAGGGCTCGTTTCGGGACCCTCGTGGTATCTTGCTCACTGGGCCCCACGGGACAAGTTCCTTGGGATCAAGCCCAGAAATGTCAGGGCATAAAGGAGCTTGAAGAGGAATTGGGCTGAGGGTTATGCATTTGGAAAGCTAATTCCTGTCCACTGGGATGGAGTGCCAAAGCCCACAGGAAAGTGGACATGGTTTGTGTTTTTTTTCCATCCTGTGCTGGTTTTGGCTGGGGTAGACTTAATTTTCTCCACAGTAGCTGGTATGGGGCTGTGCTTTGGACTTGTGCTGGAAACGGTGTTGATAACACAGGGATGTTTTCATTACTGCTGAGCAGGACTTACACAGAGCCAAGGCCTTTTCTGCTCCTCACCCCACCAGTGAGAGGCTGGGAGAGCACAAGAAGTCAGGAGGGGGCACAGCCGGGACAGGTGACCCCAGCTGACCCCAGGGATATTCCCTACCATATGATGTCATGCCAGCACATAGAGCGGGGGGAAGAAGGAGGAAGGGGGGCACGTTGGGAGTGATTGCGTTTGTCTTCCCAAGTCACCGTGACGCGTGGTGGAGCCCTGCTGTCCTGGAGATGGCTGAAGATGGAGCCTGATGTCCTGGAGATGTCCAGGACCCGCCTGCCCATGGGAAGCAGGGAATGAATTCCTTGGTTTGCTTTGCTTGCACGCATGGAGCTTTTGCTTTACGTATTGCACTGTCTTCACATCAAACCCGTTTTGTCACTTTTACCCTTCCTGTTCTCTCCCCATCCCACCGGGGGGGGGGGAGTGAGCGAGTGGCTGGGGAGGGCTCAGTTGCCGGCTGGGGTTAAACCACGGCTCATGCTCACCCTCCTGGACTTCATTGCTCTCAGCTGGTTCTCCAGCATTCATGGCAGCTTCAAAGGCATAAGGTTGTATGGTTTGCTGCACGGATCAGGCGTAGCTGTGTATTTTGGGAGAGCTGCTTGCTGGTGCTGTGCTCAGTTTTCCTCATACATAAACTAGAATTTATAGTAATAGTCTTTATAAAGTGTAAAGCATTCTTATCACATATTTCTCTTCGGAGATCAATGTAAGCAATGTGTTACAACTACAAACGTCCTTCGCAGCTGAGAAAGAGAAGATTTGCCTCGGGAGGATAATTAAGAGGATTTTTGTGGCAAGATTCGGGACGCAGACGGAACTGACTTATCAGACACTCTGCTCTCCCGCAGCCGTGCAGTCTCCCCACATCCCAGCCGGCGCTATGCCGCCTGGCAGGCTTTTCTGGTAACGCTGCACCAATAGCCGGGAAGTTTGCGATGGAATGACAGAGCTGCGGGAAGCCCTGCCGCATTTCTGGCACCACACGAACGCTCCAACTGGTGCCACCACGCGCCTCATGCATGGGGTGATGGCCTTCTGCCTTTAGGGACCAGGGACTTGCTTGGACAGGGGCCCGCGGCTTGTGGCTGCCTCCATTGGAAGAGGTCTCCAGGGCGCTTTGCACGGCACCTCGGCTCTCGCCAGCCCTGCCATGCCGCTCTCTCCTGCCCCTCGCTCGCTGTCACCCTTCGCCCACGGGACGTGCCCAAACTGCCGGAGCGTACCCAAAACGCCTCCTCAAGGCCCTCCTGCCCTCATCCAAGATGGCCGACCGCGCCTCACTCTGCCCGGCGCCCCTAGCCCTGATCAAAGATGGCCGGCCCCCACCCTTCCCCTCCCTGCAGTGGGCACCCGGGAACCTCTTGCCCTCATCCAACATGGCCGCCCCGACTCGTGGATTGG